GACCTAGAAAAGGTCACATGAAACCTGTCGGTTACTTAAGCCTGCTTCTCAAAGTGTGTATATACACACCAGAATTAGGGCATGAGATGCCATTTTTAAAAGGGAACAGAAATAGGAAGCAGAAGAAGGTGGCCATCTTTTCCTTTAGGAGGGACACACGGGAGATGAGAAGGGGAGGACAGTTTGAGAGAGTTCTGTTGGCATGCATTCCCTTGAAAAAGTTTTACGGTCCTAGTAGTGGTGGTAAGAAAGGGTATTTTGCTGCTTCTCATTAAGACTGAAGCAGCAAAATAAAAGGCTGCTGTCAGTCATCTGTCACTGGAATCTTTCTTCCTTCAACACCACTGGCCTACATTATTTTTCCAGGGGAACTTCCACATTGACTATTTGGGCATTTCTCATTGTGTCTCTAGTTTACAAAATGAAAAACTGGGACACTTCACAGTTTCACATAAAGACATTCACACATAACTGAAAATCAGGAAGAAGACTGAGGAGGAAAGGAAGAAAGTATTTGCAAAAGCTAACCTTGGTATAATGAAGCTATTCCCTCTGGGCTCTCTTTATAGCCAAGAGAGGCTCTTTTAGTTCATTGTATGCTGCAGGTTTTCTTTGCTTATGACCCACAAAGCATCCATAGCAGGTTAGACACACAGGGTTCAAGCCAGCCATTGTATGCAGGAACAGCTGATCAGACCTACAGTTTACCTTGCTTGAAATAAGGTGAGCAATGATCACCAAAATGGACATCAATATAACACACCCAGCTCTGAACTTGTGCAATGACGGGTGAAGGGGACGGGACAGGAAGATGCATCTCTCTCCTCATAGCCTTGCCCAGCTGTAGGTGATGGATAAACTGGCTGAGCAGGGCACATCTCTCTCCATGAGCATCTTTACGGTCAAAAGACTCAGGCTGATTATGTAGTAAGAAGATACCAACTCTTGGTATTCCCTACAGGCACACAGAGGCCCATGGGATCCAACTCTGTGCTGTATGCTGAACCCTCTTTACCTTTTCTGTTGTTAATAGTACCACTGTGGCTCCTCTGAGGGCACATTGGCATACACGAGATCTCCTTATCTAAATTCAGAAACCTGTAAAACTCCACCAAGGCTTCTTCCTAGCAAAGGCAGTACAAAATAAAGGCAATCAGAAAGAAATGTTAACAAATCTAAGACTGATTAACCTCATTAAATTTGCAATTTTCCTGTAACTCATTATTCCAAGGTAGGAAGAAGGCAAGCAGCATGCTGCACGCTTGTTCTTTATTGTAGGTATGCACATTGTTCCTTCAGCCAAGCTATCCTTTAAAGATTATTTTTGATGCATTATGCAAGTGATATATAGTAAATTTTTGATGTATTTTTGACATTATACTTTTCTAAATGGTTAACACCACATGTGATAAACAATGAAGTTCAGAAGTGCCAGAGAAAAAAAAAGAAAAACCTGTAACTAGAGCAGGACAAAAAAAAGATTAATGAGACTAAGAGTACTGAGCAGAATAAATACAGGCAATATAGGAGCAGCATCTCTAAGCGACTATATGAACCATCTTACTCTTCTTCTCCCTTTTAAATCAATGAGTATCTCTCCAATTATCTAAAGTATTACCGCAGGGCAAAAAAAAGGGTGCTGAAAATTTCCAGTCTTTATGGGATGGAATGAGCTTATCCATGGAGACTTGAAAATAAAAGGAATCTTCTTCAAGTTATACCAAGTTTTAGGTAAGGTAGTACCAAAGGAATTTTTACACAGCTTTTTATTATAGAAAAATCCTAGAATCTGACATTTCACAAGAGATTTCACAGCTGTGACTGAGGCATAAAGTACCTCCAAAAGCAATAGGTAAGGAACTGGAAAAAAAGCCACGGGACCTCCAATTTTAAAGGGAGAACGCACATTTTGGTTAAGTAACTAAGGAGCAATACCAGTGACCAAGTTAAATACAACCAGCATTGCACTACACCCCTGTGCCAGCAGCCCCCTGTGAGAACAGCCTTCACCACACCTCCTTACCTGTCACGGGCACCCGACGCTGAAGACAAATTCTCTCATTTCCTGGAGCTTGGCATCCTCTTCCACATCCTTGCTCTTTCCGCCCCCACCATCTTCTTAAGAAATGTTGCACCTTATTTTCTCCCACAAGAAAGATTTTTGGGCCCATTTTATTTCACAAAATAATGGAAAAAGGGAAGTCGAAATGGACATAGCTTGAACAGTCAAAATGTGACAGTTAATTTTCTTAATGGACTTGTCTGTTTTACGGGCTAACAAAACATTTTCCCCAACAACACTAAGGTTTTAAGTTGCACCCTCTCCCTTTGTTTTTTTTTTTTTTGAGTTAGAAGAAAAAGTTTGATGACATTCATGAGTAGACAAGAAAATCTCAGCTAAATTACAGCTTGAGGAAAACATAAAAAAAGCAGAACATCTTTGAACTGACCTCGTTTTTCCAGTATATAAAGTAATACTTCGCTCATGACACTTTTAACCTACCAATTCATGTCTTATGTAGTTTTAATTAAAATACCCCTTTATTCTGCATTATGACTTCGTCATTCCTTAAAAAATTATTTTGACAAATTCAAAACAGCTTTAAAAAACATACTAAATCTAACTGAAAGTAAATTGAAGGACAAGTCTTCCTGCTCTCTGTATGTTATTAAAGTAAGGGGAGTGAATTCTCTGCTCACATAACTGCTTTAGAGAAAATTAGCCTTATGCTTTCCTCAACAGTGAAAGATAAAGCAGTTTAAGAATGGTGAATGAAGACAAGCTATTGTCTTCTTTTAAATTCACAATACCAATTTAATGACAGGGAGGCCCTTAAACTGTTATTGGAGCTTGAAGTGCCCACCCTAGCTCATGTATTTTTGGGGGGGCTGACAAGTACTAAGCTACTTTAGAGTACACCCTGCATTCAAAATTTAAGAGTTATGTTACTGGAACCTTAAGTAAACTAGAGAACACCATGCTCCTAGGTTAATATAACATACCATCGACATCCAGTTAGTACTAGTAGTAATATTAAAAATTGTGTTTGATCTTCAACATGATCTGATTGTAAAACTCATTAAACATAACACAAAAACACTTTTGTAGTCAGTAGAACTGAGGAGATGAATTGTCCACAATCTGAAGGCTGCAATATTGCTTATTGCAACTCAAATGGCTTTAGAAAGCAGGACCTGTAAATGGCAATTTTAAAGTATTTTAAACAAAGAATGGACAGTTTTGTCCCAAAATTTATCTAACTGCTTTCATACTGTGAGGTTGTATTTTGACGATTTATGTAACAAAGTGTTCTAAACAGTGGTAGTCTTTTTTTTTCCTCCTTCAAAAAAACATGCTTTAGACTTGAGCATATGAATAACCAAGCTTCTCAGACCTTGCTCCAAATAAAATATAGTTACAGCACAGAATTACAGTTCTTACAAATACCACAAACACTTCTGTCAAGATTTATTCCTGCAGGAATGGCGAATTTGCTGGGTGCGTCAGCAGCTCATCTCTCTAACACCTAACGCCACCACTGTGAGGAAATCCAGGATCTCGGCCAGGGAGTCCTAGGAAGATGGATGAAGCCTCTCTTGCTGTACCCATGGACCTGGATATTACAACCAGTTTTGAAAGGTAAATTTTAAGCATGCAAGATCAGAACAGGTTCCTTCCCAAACGTCTCTTTGGTTCATAGCAGCTCAGTCCCAGCCAAGTCTGGAAGCTTCCTCTGTGAGCCATCCCCCTGCAGGAAGCCACAGCCAGGCTGTTTCAATTGTTCTTTGAAGTACCAAGGACTAACAACTGAAAAAAATAGTGAAGAACATCACAGGACCTCCTCTTCAAGTCTTTCAGCCAACACTGGAGCCAAATTCCAGTATTAATTATAGACTAGATGACTTTACTCCTTCGCTGTGCTTTGACTACCGGTAGCTGTTACTGCTGAGAAAAGCAAGCCCTGGATCCCTGCATGTCATTCAGCTCTACAGTAACTCAGAACTGACCACCCCCAAAACTCCTATGGTACTGTGCAACTCTGGGAATACCCTCATTTTGAATACTACATTCTATTTTGACTTCTTTCTCTTGTAAAAAAAAAATACAACTTCGACCTGCTGAGAGCATAAACAGTAAAAACAACAGCTACTTTAAATAGCTCAGTCTGTTAAATATCTGTTAATATTTCAAGAAATGAAAAAACAACCAACCAACCAACCACAAAGAAATTGTATATGCAGCAAAGACTTGAACTCAAGTCCTAATTTCATCCTCTCTCTGTTTTCTCAAAAGAGCACAGTATTTTTAGCCACTAGGGTGAAATAAGACAGAGAACTAGAGATGTTTAAGCTGGCATTTCCTGATCAGAATGTCTGAGATCAAGTGCTTTATTTTTTAATAAGTATTCTGTTTTCACAGGTACTGTTTTAATGCATTTCCATTTATTAATGATGTCATTAACAAACTTTTTAACTTGACCAGAATATCTCAAAAGTTATGGGTTGATAAAAAATATGCTATTAAACCCATAACACAGGAAGGGAAGTACTACTCTAGATAAATTAAATAAATCTGTACAATTAAACCATTATGAAGTATTGATTATTTTCAATAATGTGCATAGACAGCTATTGAAGAAGCATAACAATCATCAGAATTCTTTTTAGAAAACATTCTTTCAAATTAAGTTTTCATGGATTTAACACACATTGCCAAAATGCACAAATCATTTTGAAAATGAGACGTGGGTTGGGCAAAAACCCAACAGTTTAAACATATACTGCATGATGCCACTTAAGTATTTTTAGATGCATGGCTTAACAAGATAGAAACCTTATTTTTTTGCAATATGAATTTATTTTCTATGCAAATGTTTTTGACTTAAAACCTTTTATTACATGAAAGGTTGCATAAATAAATTCTGTTAAATACAGAAAAAAAATTGAGACATTTTTCTTAGAAAAATGTGACAAGACTTAGGCAAAAGTGATCTATTTCCTTAGGAATGGTTTTATTTTCTGTTATAAAACAGCTCAAATATATTTCTTATGCTTTATAGAAGATGAAATATGATTTACACATGAAATGTCTAAGTTCTCATATGTCCAGCAATTGTGTTAATTTCACAAATTAAAAAAGAAAAATGTAGTTATATAACTTCAACAACTGCATAATATTCAACTATCACCTCTCTCTCCTACCGACCATGCCCACACTATTTCCTATTTCACCCCAGAAGACTTTCCATATTTTTCTTGGCTATTTACTTTGAGAATTAGAGCCTTAACCAGATGATTTTGATTAATTTCTCATGCGATCAAGGTAGACAGAGCTAGTTGGTCCACATGACTTCAGACAGAACAATTTTATACTATAGACTGCTGCAGCAACTGTGTGTTGCTTTTTTATTTTAAACTTTGCTTCCAATGAGCTTGAGCATTTCAGGCCCTGTAGTTCAAAACGTCTAAAAAGACTTGAAACACCTCTTATTTTGCTTACTTTTTATATACTGGGAAAGATGTTCCTTAAACGACTCCTTTGTAGTGCTAGAGTTGAAGTCTATGACTTTAAAATCAAATTCATAGTTAAAAAAATAAAAACCAAACTAATCATTTTCCCCCCTAAGATCCCAAGTGTAACTCGCTCAGGATGTCACAATATTAAAAAACATTGTGAAAAGTAACAGAACAAGTTGACACACTTTCACATGTGACATTTAAAACAGCAACACTGGGGTTTCAATTTAAAAAATCTTAATTTAAAAAAATCAACTGAAGTATTTACTGATTTTTTTTCATATTTGTATAGTTGGACGAATATACACATATAGAATGCCTGTTTGAAAATTTTTGTAAAGTTTCCTCATGTAACATTCACACTGTAATCTGAAATTTGTTGTTTATCACCCCAACCTCAGCATCCGGTTTTGAATTAACAAGCAAAATTAAAAAACAATGTTTTTTTTGGACTATAAAGTTACAATTACAAATACTTAAAACTAAGTGAAAAAACACCCATTTTGCTGATATCTTAATGGTTTTATTCACAAAATAAAGAGCTTTGTCTTTCCCAAGAAGAACTTAACAGAAAGACTTAATGATACAATTATAAAAAAGTGGTACAGAAAATTTGAAAAAGTCTGGTACAATTTACAAATGCAAACTATCACTTTGTACAAAATCTTTTTTTAAAGAAAGTTCAGTAATAGATTTTAAAATACAGTCTTAACACCTCAGAAACGTACATTTATGTCAAACTGTGGCTGGCCTTCATTTTCGCCTGTGTGGGGAATTCTCCCTTTGTCTGTCCTCGTTCCTCCTGGATTCCCTCTCCTCGTTCCTCCTGGATTCCCTCTCCTCGTTCCTCCTGGATTCCCTCTCCTCGTTCCTCCTGGATTCCCTGTCCTCGTTCCTCCTGGATTCCCTGTCCTCGTTCCTCCTGGATTCCCTCTCCTCGTTCCTCCTGGATTCCCTGTCCTCGTTCCTCCTGGATTCCCTGTCCTCGTTCCTCCTGGATTCCCTGTCCTCGTTCCTCCTGGATTCCCTCTCCTCGTTCCTCCTGGGCTCCCTCTCCTCGTTCCTCCTGGGCTCCCTCTCCTCGTTCCTCCTGGGCTCCCTCTCCTCGTTCCTCCTGGGCTCCCTCTCCTCGTTCCTCCTGGATTCCCTCTCCTCGTCCCTTCTGGACTCCCTCACCTCGTTCCGCCTGGATTCCCTCTCCTCGTTCCTCCTGGGCTCCCTCTCCTCGTCTCTTCTGGACTCCCTGTCCTCGTCCCTCCTGGGCTCCCTCTCCTCATTCCTCCTGGATTCCCTCTCCTCGTTCCACCTGGATTCCCTCTCCTCGTTCCACCTGGATTCCCTCTCCTCGTTCCACCTGGACTCCCTCTCCTCGTTCCTCCTGGATTCCCTCTCCTCGTTCCTCCTGAGCTCCCTCTCCTTGTTCACCGTGGACTCCCTGTCCTCGTCTCTCCTGGATTCCCTCTCCTCGTCTCTCCTGGATTCCCTCTCCTCGTTCCTCCTGGATTCCCTCTCCTCGTCTCTCCTGGATTCCCTCTCCTCGTTCCTCCTGGATTCCCTCTCCTCGTTCCTCCTGGATTCCCTCTCCTCGTTCCTCCTGGATTCCCTCTCCTCGTTCCTCCTGGGCTCCCTCTCCTCGTTCCTCCTGGATTCCCTCTCCTCGTTCCTCCTGGATTCCCTCTCCTCGTTCCTCCTGGATTCCCTCTCCTCGTTCCTCCTGGATTCCCTCTCCTCGTTCCTCCTGGATTCCCTCTCCTCGTTCCTCCTGGATTCCCTCTCCTCGTCCCTCCTGAGCTCCCTCTCCTCGTTCCTCCTGAGCTCCCTCTCCTCGTTCCTCCTGAGCTCCCTCTCCTTGTTCACCCTGGACTCCCTGTCCTCATCCCTCCTGGGCTCCCTCTCCTCGTTCCGCCTGGATTCCCTCTCCTCGTTCCTCCTGGATTCCCTCTCCTCGTTCCTCCTGGATTCCCTGTCCTTGTTCACCCTGGACTCCCTGTCCTCGTTCTCCCTGGGTTCCCTGTACTGGTCAGAGTAGCGGCTGTACTTCTCCCGGTGTTTCTCCGAACCATTTCTGTACCGGTCCTCTTGTTCCTCCTCTCTTGGACTCGAATCGTCACAGTCTCTCTCTCTGGATTTTGATCTTTCTCTTTTTCTACTGCGATGTCCATTATCTTTGCTCCAGTGTCTGTAATTTTCATCATCAGACAAAGAAGCTCTTCTGTCTGCTTTCTTAACTTTTGAATTACTGTGTTTATTTTCCAGATCCTTAGTTCTGTCATGGTTCCTATTTTTTCCACTATGGTAACCATCTCTGTCATTGGACTCATCTCTGTGATGATATTTTGACACATCATCTCTGTGTGATTCTCTTAAATGTCGGTGATTTCTTTCTGATTTGCTCTCAGTATCACTTCTTTCCTCTTGATGCCTCCTTCCCATTTTCTTTTCAACGGATTTCCGTTTCCTTTCTTGCTTTTTCCTGGAAACTTTATTGGATTCTCTATTTTTCTTCTGCATTCTCCTTCTTCTAGTTTTAGAAACATCTGAAATTATAACAAATTAGGGGACTAAGATTGCATTTTAATTTAATACGTTTAACTTATTAAACTACAAATAAAATTGTAGAGAGCTATTTTTTTTTGTCAAAAAAATGGTGTGTGCATTGTATAAGGACAAAAGTTCCAAAATAATGAACTCTGATTTTTACCCCTTAGCTCTCTGCAAGTGATGCCTGTCTTTTGAAAACCTCCACCTGTCATCATCCTCTTGTTGACTTGATATGAAACGACCACGCATAGGCTGTAAAGTTATACATCAAAGCACTCTCACAAATAATCTTTTTTTTGGGGGGGGGAAGATGACCTTTCCCAGACTGTCCAGTCCCAAAATCATTTACTTTTCCTGGAAAAGCTTCTCAGTCAATGGAGATTAAAAACAGCAGATGGGGAAAAATCTCCAACACTATCCTATGCGGAAATAGAGGGATGATGAAATGGCTTGAGACAATGGTACTGCAGCCATATAACAACGGCCCTTGGGCTCAGTTTTTCAGAAGCAGTGACAGCTTTGTCAACAAGATTAACTTCTGTATTTCTAAATACACAGCAATGCTCATCTCAGTGGAAGAGGCCTTACCTTTCCTTTTTGCTCTTTATTAGGGATCTCCAGATTCCACTTGACAGTATTTATCGCTAACTGCCATTTAGAATAACCATTAATTCACCTTATTGTATGAACTATAGTATCACATCAGCTTTTGAAAATATCACAGCCATAAACTGACTACTACGTATAACATCTGAGTTCTACAGCACTTTTCTAATCTCATGTCTGAACTAATGCTTTCTGACATTCTGACAAATGCAATGAGGGATCAATTCAGATACATTATAATGCATTAAGTTTTTTAAACAGTGTTTTCCATACTATTTTACATCCACCAGAATGCAGAAAACGACCCAAGAAAGTAAACAGAAAAGAACCAGCTGCTTTGATAACAGATAAATTTCATCCTCTGCTGGACCTGTTTTGGTTAGGAGTACCTCCCCAGAGCAGTGCCGAGCTGAGCTAGCTGATGAAGTCCCAAACATTAACTGGCAGTAAGACAGTAACCTGTAATTTAGCTGTATACTCAATTTCTCAGTTTCTAATTAGCAGGTTTTCTATTTTTCTCTTATACACTGCACTGAAATACTGCAGCACATTGCTCTGAAAAATGCCTTTTAACTCTTCCAAGTTATTTTACAGATTTAAAAAGCTGCAAACACAGGAAGACTTGGAGTTATAACCAGTAATGGGCCTCAACTAAGTTTAGCATTAGAGTACAGTTATTCCCAATTAGTGTTTTGATCACTGTATTACAGTACACAAGAACCTGAAAAAGACAAGTGAAACCAGGTTGCAAAGGTATCAAGATTCAAATTTTAATGAATATGTTCCTGAATGGAAAAAAGGCAAGTAGGAGAAGCCATGGTCCTAAACTTTGAAAAATAAGTGTTCACACTGGCAGACTGCAGACTCAGTTGGTTTGTCACTAAGGACTTCCCCCTCTGGTTCCTATCAAGCAGCTCAGCAGAGCCATCTGGCTCTGTGCTGAACCAGTGCCTCCTCTGACCCTGTTTGACTGTGCCCTCCTCTAGTGCTGTCGTCATTAATGAGATTAGTGTGATGACACACAACCCAGACTCCTGTGCACTAAGACTGTGATGGAGAACTAAAGTGCATTTCCAAAGCATGAGCAGTTCATACCGTTTTTATTTTATAAATCAACACTTTCACTTCAAAGGCACATAATAAATCAAATTAACTTTGAATCAGCAAACCTCTGTACTGCAGGAAGTCATGCTGTGCTATCATCTGCTCATGTGTATATACTGGGGGAGACTGCACACACTAAATCATACTAGCATGTACTTTAAAGACTAAGCAGTGTTTATGACAATTCGTGTCAGATAAAGGTTCTACATCACCAGGATGGTGTAAGATGCTAAACGCTAATTATAATGCATAAAAATACTAAGTTGTTGGCAAAAGCTAATTCTTCCTTGGAGATTTCTTTACAGACAAAAACCTTCACAGTATCACCACACAAACTCTTCCTGAAGAGGAGGAATTAGAAATGGAGCCTCAGATGAAGAATAATATTTAAATACACTGCTAGAACTGAAGAAAGTAATTTTTGACTCACGAAGAAGTACATATTTACTGGGAAGGACACGAGTAGTATCAAGCTCACTCAGTCAAGCCAAGCAAAACAGAATTGTGGACATGAGTCTCTACAGTTCACCAGTAAACATCCCACAGAGATATTAATAGGGAATGACTCTAATTCCTCCATTCTCCAATAAACTGAGATCATAGTAGTATGCAACAGGTATCAACTGTGTAAAAAAAGTAATCTACAAAACAATGTTTCTCAGACATTTAAGTCTCTAAAAATAGAACTCTCAATTTTTCTAAATTCCAAAATAAATTTCCATGAGCAATATTTAGTATTTTAAAACTAAGTTAAAAATGAATTGATTAGATTTTAAAGCAGAGAAATTAACACTGTTTATAGCCAGATTTTCCTCAAAACAAGCATATATAGAAACAGAAATAAACAGATGTAAATAAACAGAAGTGAAAGAGAAGTAAATAGTTAGACAGTTAGTGTTTAAGTACCTGAGTCACTGCTGCTGTCACTGCTAGATGAAGAGTCACTGCTGCTGGATGACTCTGAGCTAGTACTGCTGCTGTCAGAATCAGAATCTGAGGAAGAGTCTGTCTCTGAAGATGAAGAGGAATCCGATGACTCAACATTTTGCTTTTGTGTCATAATTAACTTCGGTGCATTTTTAAGATGCTCCCGTAATTCATCCCTAATTAGCAAAAAAAAAAAATTGTTTTTCAATTTTATTTTTTTGTTTGTAGGGGGAGGGAAGATGAAGAAAGTGAATATTAAATCAGAAGTGTTCCTCACGTTAGTCCTCCAAGGCCAATAGAAGTGAAGAAATTGATGGCAAAGCGAGTGTTTCTTGGGTTATCCCGAGGCAATAATCCCTCAAAGAACGGCTGCAGTGTCCTGATGGAAACAAACATCTAAATTAAACACCATGCCAGCTCAGCACTCTCACTGACATCAAGAAACTGAAAAAAGAAACTATATGGATCTCCACAGGAGAGCAAGGTTTCTCTTCATGTATTTTTCAACACTTTTATTGTTTGCAACTATGATGGATTTAATCAAACGCTATTTAAAAATTTGCTCTTTTATGAAAAGAAAACTTCTTCACACACAGAATTGCTACATACTGACAGATCATGTGAAGCCCTTAAGTGACCTGTGAAATTGCAGTAGCCTGTGACAGCAAAGGATAATGTGCACTGACCGAGAAGGTCAAAGATGTATGTACCTATGTTGAAACCCCATTATACAGGGCCTTAAGTATAGTTTCAAATTTAAGTTTACAAGAGCTAAATCATCTACCAAATTCTTCATCATACATAGAAGAAATGCCAACTTAGAAGAAACAGCTCAAGCAATTGAAAGTAACATTGCCAGAATGCAATGCATTAAATCTCATACAGAGTTAAAAGAACGTGTTATTTACACTACACTTAAGCAACTGATCCTAGAAAACCTGTTACTAAGAATTGTGTGCTTTTTTCCTAATTTTTGTCAGAAAGAGAAGCCATAGTGCCATTTAATATGCAGCTATATAGCTGACAGTATATACAAATAAATTCACAAATGGAAAATTCTTACACAAAGATGAATATCATTATGGGGGGTGAGAGGGGGAAGAGATATCTTGCAAACAGTCATGCACATACTTGAACCCAAAATGATGGTAATACACTCAGCTTAATATGACTCTTTGCAATGACTAAATCTATACATGAACTTATTTTTGAAGTACTGCAGCTACAGAGTTTTTATCTGTACTTTTTCAGATAAAGGAGCTCATTAAATTTACAGTTTTGAAAATAAAATTTCTACTTACTCATCTTTTAATCTTGCATTTAAATTAGGAAGTCCCATATATTCACTGAGTTCCTGAAAGAATATTTTGACAAAAATTCTACTGGAGGATGTGGTAGTTTCTTCACTCAGTATTATACATTCAAGGACCTGAAAACATTCAGAAAAATATAAACCCTTAAGTTTAAACATACATTCTTTTATTTATCTTGAAAATTTTGTTAGAAATAACAAATAAAGACTGATTTTTATTTCTTTTTTTTTTTTCAAAAGACCATGAATTCTATGATTCCTAGTCAAGACTGTCTTTCTCAAAAATTCTTTTCTACCACCTGGGAGTGGCTTCTGATTATATTTATGCCAGTAATTCTTTAAGGATTTCTTTCATCTACAAAAGCTCCATAAGAGAAAATCAGGTGTGTGAACTTCTGGGAAGTTAGAGATTTGGGACTTAAACACTAAAGAGGTAAAATATTTGGACTGACTTATGTGTGCCTGAAGAATGACAGTTAGACTAGGCTATGAAACAAGAATAAAATTATTTGAAAAGAGAAGTTATCCTATATTTATTTCTTCATTTTTTAATGTTATTATATCTCAGATATAATATGTTATTATATCTCAGATGTTATTATTTTAATGTTATCATATCTCAAAATGCAAGATTGCTTTTATTTATATGGTACTTAAATCATAATATGGCAATATTTTGAAAAGTCTTATAATTCTACACAACTTTTAATTTAATATATTAAAAGTTCAAAATTCTTTTCTAAAAGATGTACATTTTAATCAACCAATTCCAGCTGAGTTCCATAAGGCAACAGCTTAAATCAACTACTGAAAAATGGGGAGGAAGAATTATGATGCAGAAGAGGCAAAAAGAGGAGATGGAACCAACCAGAATTGTTCAACAGTGTCTGAGAAGATACTTAACATAATCCAGTTTGCTACAGGGACAAGTAGTTCCAAATTGCAGAACAAATACTAGAACTAATACATTATATATTATTGTGGAGTACTGGAGATTAACTCTTGAAAAAGAAATCTATGACAATAGCTCTTTGTTTTTAACTTACACTCCAGGGAATTGAATCAGTGTATAGTAGATGAGCAAACATCTTGGCAACATTTCTCAGTTTGTTCGTTTCCAAACGATGAATGGTATCATATTGTTCTTTGAAAATAGCTTCAAAGGATTCCATGTATTCTTTTTTTAACATGCAGAAACGCTGAGACAAAATTGTACAATTTAAACAACCAGATTAAACAAAATACTAAATATGCAAATAATCTACATGTAAGTGACCTAATGGTGTGAATATTTACTGCAAAATTTCCTTTTTAAATAACCCTTGGAGGAAGAGAAAACACATTCAAATGGATATATTTTATTGCTTTGAGCAGTTGTCAGAACAAGAAACTCATCTGAATTGCAAAGTAGTAATTATAAATTTTGAACTACAGCAAATTATCCAGCAATTTGTTTTACTTCTATACATCCAGTATTTTCAACAGATATAACCCCACTTTTTTCATGACATTACTGAATGACTATTTCAATTTAGAGAAGCAGCAGGAAACACAGAGGTTAAGACATTTTGGATCTATACATTCCAAAGAATATGGAAATAAAATTTTATTTTCATCTGAACATGCAGATTTGTATGGTTAGTGCTTTGTAACTGACTGTCAGCAGATGGATTTCCTCAAGTACTGGATCACAAATAGAGATGAGAAAAAACACTCTCTTTCAGCATAACTTGCCCCCTTTAGAATACAAGTATTTAATCTTAACTCTTCAGATCTGTCAATATTATTGATAAGAAAAACCTAAGTAAGAAATCACTGCAACTAAATCAGCAGTTAGTTACACAAAAACAGAGAGTTAGCTGTTAATTGAAAAGCAAACAAAACACTCACAGGCCCGGGACAGTAAGTATTCAATCTTGCACTCTAAATTAGTCCTACTAAGCAGTTCTGAAAGAAGTGGTAAGTGACAAGTCTCCAAAATTAATATTCGGCACTGTAAAAAGGCTATTTTCTGGTAACTCATAATACTTTTGTCTTTTTAGTACCATTTCTTTGCCACTGATTTATTGTTTTACCATAATGAGAAAAAAAAGGAAGGCAAAATAAGCAACATTATAAAGGGAAAATGAGTTCTCTCATTCTGCATTCACTATGCTTATTAAAATCAAAACGTTAATTGAATCCACTAACACAATTAACTAACGTAAGCATTTTCAGAATGATAAAAAGGCTATTAGTTTTATTTATCCATTAAAACTTAAGTTTGACACACAAAAAATAGAGTAAACCAATGAAATTTTCTATCATAAGGTGTAAAATTTTAAAACAGAACTCACCCCAGCCAGTAACCCAAAGAATTTCTCATATGTTCTTTGCTGAGCACAGCAGTCAAGTATCATATTGCAGAGTTCTTTCTGGGTTATGGAAAAAAAAAAATATTTCTTTAGGTAAATTCACTGTAGCAGCAAAAAACCCATCACTAAGTATCAAATAATTGAAGAAAGCCTTACACAAGTACGAGCTTTGAAACAAGCATCTACATAAAACTTCATTGGTGACACCAGTAGTTTTGTGAATTCCTCTGGGATGTGAATATGAACTTTTGCCCTCCAAATTTCCTCTAACACACTGTGTATCTAATAAAAAAAAAGTCAGAACTCATTTACAAACTGACTTTACCACAGTGAAAAAAGGAGATATAAGATAAAAGGTAAGGTTTTGAGGGCTTTTTTGGTGGTTTTGGTTTTGTTTGTGTGTTGCTTGGCTTTTTTGGGTTTGTTTTTGGGGTTTTTGGTTCGTTTTAAATAGCACCGATTCCTGCATTTATGGAAATGAAAACTCTTCGCAACTTTCAAATGTCAAAATGGCTTACAGACAAGCCATTTGAAAACGCCATGTGCATGGTTAGCAGTGTTATTTCCAAAATCAGAAGTATCTGTAGTTTTTGGTATATACTAATACCTTTAACTACTCAACCATCGTTTTCCTGACAAGCTTCTGCAAGCAAAAGGCTGCATTACAGTGCAATTGCTTCAGTCCTGAGGGTGATGTTCAGAAAGACTAAACTCAACCCCGGGAGGTGAACATGCCTAGACTTACTCTATAACAAAGAGAACAAGAGGAACTTTTCTAAAGCAGCTGTTTTAGGCTCATATTCAGAATCACCCTTTAGAAAAGCATCTCTCCTTGCCTAGGAAGAAGCAGAGGAAGCCTAGCTAGATTAATCTCCCAAAACTTTTGTGCATCCCCCATTATCAACAGCCTGCCTTTCATTTTCCCGTCTCCATGGTGAACACAGATGTAAACAACAGAAGATGCTCTCCTTCCCTTACACCAGCTACCTGGAACAGTTAGTCCAGTCTTTCTGGAATACAGACTGACTGCCTCCCTTTCTCCTTGTCTCCCAATACTATCACCCCAAGATCATTATCGGATCAACCTCTGGCAGCTTCCTCCTCCTCTTCTTTCACATGCCCCAACCCAAGAACCAGAGGGAAACACACGGATGGATTCTGCTCTGTACCCTCCCCTCTAGGACCAGTGCCCTGGCTGAGAGCAGTGAGCCAGGCAAGTAAGCCTACGTGAGTTTAAAACCAAACTTATTCCCCCACTAAGTAAGTTACAGATTGTAATACAGCTAGGAATTGGTTTAGGGCACATTTGGAAACATTAATTAAGAAAAGTGAAAAAAGCATTTTTATATAAATTAACAGCCATGAAATACACAATGCTTGAACTGCATTGCAGTTTTTCCCCATTCCCTTTTTTTTTCTATTACTGTTTTCTCATTAAGACCTATTCCATAGCATAATCCAATTTATGACACTTCCAAATATGTTTCTGGCTGTCAGTCACGTATCTTTCATTATTAATTTAATTTCTCTTTAAACTAATATTAATGTTCCCACAGAAAAGGATGATTTCAAGTGTTTTGTTCTCACACCAATTTACTATAGCATATACTAGATTTCATATTCTCCCACTTGTGCCACTCTTCCAAGCATAAATTCAGAAGAAACATTTTTGCCCATCATAAAAACTCAAAACAAATAAAAGGCCAACCATGCTGAACAAGAAAAAAAAATACTCCCCCAAATAAAAAGGCAGTAATGTACCAAATAAACTTACAGATGTGTTTGAAGGCATTCCTTTTAACACTGTCACACTCTGTTAGTGTGATGTATTAAAATGCATATCAATTTTTTATATTATCCCATTTTATAGGATTGCTGCAGTTAATCAGTTTTTTAACAATAAAAAGGGTAAAGTGCTGATGTCACTGTTAATAACATCAGGAAGACTTGAAAAACAAATTACTTTTCTTCCTCATCTTAAATGCAATTATAACATTGGTATCCCCTGTGGTTTACAGTAATTAAATATTTTAACATTTTAATTAAATATTACAAAGATTTCTAGGAGGGTATCTTGAATAACCACATGCATGAAAATAGATTTGCCCATAAAGACATTCTTGCTAGTGTTATCTAAACAACTCAAGGCTAAGTTTAGGGTAACTGTCTTCCAGATTTAAAATTAACAAACTTTACAATTATTTAATTATTTTTTTTGAGAGATGTAACAAGTTCAGATAGTAATTCCAGCTTAATTTCCAGCTTCAAAGGTTAGTTAACACATTTCTGTACTCCCAATGATGTTTATGGCAGGAAGAGCCTGTGTTATTTAGCCCATCACTTGTTTTGAAGAATGGAGTGAATTTGTTCCCCAATTTTACAGGCAATTCATATATTGTGTTGTTCAATGAATTTCATTCAATGCTCAGCAAGTGATTCCTCAGCTTAGTTAAGAAAGTATGTACTGCTATCCAGTCATGAAATAAACCACTTCAAAAATACCTGTCATCTCATACAGATGGTGAATGATCTTTTGTGAAGATCTTGAATTTATCATTGCGTCATGAATAACAACAACACTTCCCAAAACTGCTAAGAGAGAAGATAAAGAGAAAAGCTCCCTCTAAATGCACTGCACTTCTCACACTTCTCCCTAAACATTTCCAACTAGCTCTCACCCAAACAGAGCAATGGTTTAGATGAACCGTGGTTCCACCTAACATGGCAACTATCATCATACATTTGAAGATGCTAAAGGGTAAACCAGGAAAAGACAAAAACACTGGACTTGTTTTTTTTCCCAGTTTTACCATTTTAAAAACAAGCACACCCTGCCCAGTCTATCTGCTCTCAGCTTCACCCAAAGGCTATGTTCACTGCAGACAGAGAGCCAAAGTAACTCAGCTTTCTCACTCCCTTCTGATCATGGGTTCCTTTTTACAGCTAGTACTTCCCCCCGTCATCTCCTCCCCATCTTTCTCCCCTCATTTTTTACAATTTCTTTAAGATTTGCATTCAGCTAAGATTGGAATTTTGGAGCTGCCCCACAGGCTGAGGAGACCTCCTTCATGAGGAGTCTCTACTCCCCCCCTAGCCGGCAGGGATGCCATCTGCAGCTCCCCTCCCTTGCCAGCCCCACGGCTCTGTTCCATCCATTGCATACACAAACTGAAACCACCACGAGACATCCCCACCCAGTAAGCTAACACAGCTTCTTAAAATAGAAAACTATCAATGCCAACCCTTGGTTTCTAGGAGTTTCTTCATAAAACTAAAGGAATTAATTTGCTGGGAGCAAACCTAGTGAAGGACATAGGTTCATTTAAATCAACGTGAAACTGGAATTATGTGAAATGAGTGCCTTGCATTTTATATATGTGCACTGCTTTTACAGACTCTAAATTTTTCCTTTTTTCTCTTTCATTTCACTGAAGTGTAGTTAACTTCCTCTGGCTACCCTAAAGCTTTGCTTACTGCTGCATATTTTAATATGTGTAACAACCACACAGGCCTATTTTTTCCAGCATCTCTGCTCTTTTTCTTGCTTATTTGTCAAATTACCACAGGGAGCCAAGGCTGGCAAAGCTATGGAAGGTGTTCCAGTAGCAGGTGGCCTCTCCACATACTACATGCAGTGCTTTTGGCAGCTACTACACTGTCTCCAGGTCTGTCCCATGGTCAGCTAACAGTCTTCCTCAACTTTTGTCCGTTTATTTACCATTTTTTACCCCAACTTGTTCTATGTTTAGAGCAACATATGCTTAAAGCTGAATATAGTAATCAAAAATCTTGCATAAATCAGACTTAACATTTTACACAGGAATCACTAACTGGATATAAGCATAGATATATACTTTTCATTCATGCTGCTACAAGTCTGCAACACACAAACACACACAAGAGTTCTGGTGAAATAATACATAAAAGCCCCACAGTATTTCTTTCTTTCCACCGGAAGGCTACACATGCAAAACTTCATTTTAAGTGATTTCACTAAGGTAATCTGAGCAATTTCATCCCCTTAGGTTAAATACATGCATACATACATGCTTAGAAGATCAAAGTCTAGTCAGAATTCTAGCTAATGCCTGCTAACAGTAACACACAAATACAAGCTTATTCTGTATGGATTCTATATCTTGATTTTCTCTAACATCAACATATACCACAATATGGCTTGTACATGCTTTTTTCTTAATTGATAAATTATGAAAATTCAGATTGATTCTACATCTCAGGTCCATGAAAAGTCCTGCTTCAGAAGACAGGAAATCTACCTGAGGATGAGCACCTTTTACAGGCAGTAGCAACTCTGTGAACTAATCATGGTGCAGATGCCAAACCTACCAGTTGCAATACCCTCCAAATTAGAAAGGAAAGCAATGAATCTAAGAAATCATTAATTTGACCTGAACAGAATTATCAACTTTAGACCATCCCAGTCTACACCAGTTTCCTGAACAACATTTTCACTGAATGTCAAGGTAGAGCACTTCTGTTATCTTCAAGACTCAAAGCATAAATAACACAAGAGACACTGACACTCCCACCCCTCCAACTAGGGTTGCTTTGAGCAAGTGACACCATCCTGTAAAAATGAAGATGCACACATAATTCTTTCAAGAAGGCCGTGCCTACAATAATTTTTCTCATTTCAAGTAAAAAAAAAAATAAAATCCCATGTCCCCATTACTTTTGTCTGGGATACCAGATTGAGGGGCAGATACAGAAGAGGCTCTAACTTGAGTGAAGTTTCAAGCACTGCTGTATACGAATTTAGTTCTTATCACAAGTAAAAAAATGAAGAAAAGCCTAAAAGCCAAACCCTTTTAGACATGCTTTCAAAGAGCAAGAACAATGTATGGTTGGTTTAATTTTTTGGTTGTCCCCACCACCCTTGAGGGAGACTGGGCAACAAGTCATGACATTTCCATCTTCAAAAAAAAGAAAGAAAAAAGGAAAAAAAAACCCCTATATTCCTAAGGTATGTTTTCTTAAAGAAGGATCAATTCTACATCTAAGCAGTTGTCACTCTGGCATACTCTTTTATTACTGTGAGGAAACTCAACTCTTTGGGGTTTTTTTTAACTAAAAATGCCAGAAACTGAAATGTAGTCCCTCCAAGACCAGAGGCAACAAAAATCTGTTTAGGGTAAGCATAATGTTAAAAGCCTATTTCTGACATTTCAGTAGGGCTTGTTTGTTTGCTTTCCTCATAGTTCAGAAGCCAGAACAACTGATAATACCATACTCCAACCACAGTTTTAATTTATTTAAATTTTCTTCTTTAGTAATGCATGGGATTAATGTAGCTTTAACACAGATAATAACAGTACCTTTTAAAAAAAGAGAAATAGTGTGCTCTGCCAAGCCTGAGCATATGTCCAAAAAAAGCAACTGCAAGGCTTGTTTAGAACAGCTTCTCATAGGCTGTAGTACAAATTACAACAAAGCTTTTCAACTTTCGATCTGCAGGTTTCAGTTGGGTCTAAGTAACATGAATAAAAGCAAACCTATTCCTAGAAAATTTACTTAGAAAAGAAAGAATTTCAACTCTTTGAATGTCTTTCCTCCTTAAAAAAATAATCAGAGGACTGTTGACATCCCCCTCAGCAGCTGGTACTAAACTGCAATGCCAAAAAGCAGTATTATGTTGTTCTAGTCTGCAGATTATCCATTTGAACCTTAATCCTCTTTCTGCGAGTCAGAACTGTGAGACAGATCCATTACTGGTATTAAGCATACAAATGCTTGCGTCGCACAGCAGTTAATGAAGCTTTCAGTAAAACAGACCAAAAAAGAAAAAGGTGCTTTATGGCTAAAAAAGTAATAGTAAAGAATCATAGAATCATTAAGGTTGGAAAATACCTCTAAGATCATCAAGTCCAACCATTAACCCAGCACCATCATGTTCTCCACTAGATCATATCCTCAAGTGCCACATAAACCCATCTTTTGAACACTTCCAGGGATGGTGATTCTACCACTTCCCTGGGCAGTCTGTTTCAATAACTGACCAACCTTTCTTCTTTACTGAAGAAATTGTTCCTAACACCTAATTTAAACCTCCCCTGGTGGAACTTGAGGCCATTTCTTCTGGTCCTGTCCCACCTCGCTGCAACCTCCTTTTGGGTACTTGTAGAAAGTGGTAAGGTCCTCTTTGACCTCCTCTTCTCCAGACTAAACAACTCCAGCACTCAAGGTGTGGCCTCATCAGTGCTGAGTACAGGGGGACAATCACTTCCCTGGTTCTGCTGGCCACTCTATTGCTGATACAGGCCAAGACACCATTGGCCTTGGCCACCTGGGCACATGCTGGCTCACATCCAGCCAGCTGTTGACCAGCACCCCCAGGTCCTTTTTTCCTGGGCAGCTCTCCAGCCACTCTTCCCCCAGCCTGTCATGCTGCCTGGGGTTGTTGTGCCAAGTACAGGACTTGTCACTTTGACTTATTGAACCTCGCACTGTTGACCTCGGCCCATCCATCCAGCGTGTCCAGATCCCTCTGCCTTCCTGCCCTCCTGCCTCCAGATCAACACTCCCGCCCAACTTGGTGTCATCTGCAAACTTAGTAATGGTTTATTTTGATAATGAAGACAGTGGGAATCGATTCAACAAAGGCTTCAATCTGAAGATACTAGCTCGAAAGAATAAAAAATGATTTTTCTAGCTTAAAAACTGGCAGTTAATCCAAACAAACTTCCTCCTGAGTGCATTCAGGTTTTTTTATCCACATGGACAGACTTGAGCCTCATAAATCCTTGAATAATTTTATTGCCTATAACTGCTTGTTCATTCTGTTCTCACAATGATCAGGAAGCATCTTCTTTGTTTCTTTTTGCCCCCAAAAAGGAGTTTAGTTCTATACAATGAGCAAGTCAAAGCTCTCTCATCTTTGATCAAACGAGATGGAGAGTAATTACGATTATTAGAGAAAAAAAGAAATCAGCACAAAGAAGAGGCCTCACATGATAAGAAGATGCAGTTTTCCAACAGTTTTGGACCTTGAATTGCAGTAATTCCTAAAGCTAGTACTGAATAGTAGGTTGATACTAATTGTTGGGGTTTTCTTCCTTCCCCTATGAAATTTATTTTTTCTGAGCAGATTTTGCCCACAGAAGTTCAGAGTTGACAGAGACTGCCAGGAAATTAAATACCAGTTCTCTAAGCAGTTATCTAACAAGCAAGCAGTGTTATGCATTCTGACTCTTATATGATGTAGTACCTATATTCTAGATTGTTCTTCAGAGCTGAACCGATTTGCTAGAAATTTTTTTTCTCTTTAGAATTCTTCAGGTTATGCTTCACTGAGAATTATAACCTTGTGCATGCTTAGTATTGCATTTCATGCACAGAATTAGAGAACTAGTTAAAAAAACCCCACCATCTCAGTTCTTAGCTTACTTCAATGTAAATTGCTTAATAACAAAATAGAACAAGAACTGAAAAACTCATAGGCAAACCAGTTCTCAAAGAACACCTAACCATAGGCCAGATCTCCCCTCACTAGTGTTATACTAATAAGGTTCGTTACTACATACATTGTTTCAAATAAAACAGAACAGTAATTACAGCCACAAGGAAATTACCAGCTCTCTCCAGTGCAACTCCCATGATGATAGCTTACAGCTGACTGAAAAGCTGTTTATAAAATTAGATGGGTATTTACATTCTACCAATATCAAATATAAGTACCAGATGAAGAACAATTTCCTTTACTTGAAAACATACCAATTGTATTGATCTTACAGAGTCTGAAAACAAAACAGCTTATATCTGATACTCTACAAGATTACAGCAAAGCAATCATACTCAAAACTGCTTTAATTCAGTACACTGTTTATTCAAAGAAGACCGTGAAAGCAACAAAACAACACACTCTTTTAGCACTATGCTAAATTTCAAACCCCACTGATAAAGTCTACAGTTGTCTGCAAGTATCTTCACCCCCATCTTCTTTCAGAGACAGAACTCTCAGAGTGACTGCCATGATGCAGTACTCTTGTCGTAGGATAAAAGTTTCAACAGTCCAAACAACAGACCTTTTCAAACAGGCTACAAGCAAACATTTGAGTTGCTTGACAGAAAAGAGCAAATGCATAAGACAAATTGCTTATGAAATATGTGTCAGTCTGTTTGCTCTAAAGGTTGTGAAATTCATTTTGAGGAACAGTTGTAAGGAATCACTCTCACTCCTCTGGCTGCTATACAGACTAGGTCCCAGAACATGAGCAAGGATTTCAGACATTACCATAGTACTGTTTCTTAATAATGTTAATAACAAAAAAGATTAAGAAGCAAGGCTTACAGTCTGACTTTCAGGGAAGTCCATCTTCAGCAGTTTGTGAGCACATTCTTCAAAGTCTAAGCTGAATAGAAAAAATACTTCTCATTATCTGTGCAATATATGCCATGCTAAAAACATTTCAGAATTATATTAAGATTGATTGTTGGTGCTGAAACTTCAACTACTTGGAAATGAAGTATCTCAGCTGTTTAACTTGCTGGATTTTTATTGTTGTTGTGGGGGGTTTTAATAAACATTTCTATTTTCTGAGTTTGTATCTGAAAATTAATCGAAATTGATTAAATTTGCAAACCATTTGAGAACAAGATGACTCAAGTCATTATTATTACATCATCTTACAGAACTACATAAAACATAAAAAAGCAGGAGCTCATTTTGCACGTCCGGAAACACTCTGAAATGCAAGCACTGCACATAAGATCCAAAAGCAGTATATACCACACTCTCCTCTTTACACTCCTGTTCTGAAAGCCTTTAGCTACCACCAATACCTCCTCCCACCCAAGTAAAAGATGAACAAACTTCAGTATGGCAAGAAACTATTTAACAGTCACTTTGAGAAACATAAGAGCCTTTCATACCTCTCAGTATGGTATTAATTCACATGTCTAATGATCAACACCACAACTACATTATCACACTCCTCATGCAAGTTCAGAACCTGCAGAGTATTACGAGCCATGCCTACTTTTAATGACAGAATTCAGTGGCATGCATCAGGTCAATGTCCCCTCTCATCCCGATGAGACAGGAGCTATACCACCATGTTCTGATCATTTGTGCCACATACTGCAAGGGGATTTCATTCTTAAGACAACTTCAAACAGTACACTTCAGGGTTGGTATCTGTATACTTATTTTCCAAGCAATGGAGATGTTAATGGGCCTAAGAGAACCACACTGCATAACTCCTCTCAGAACTTGAGAAAATGTACAGTATTTCTAAGTGTGTCCGTGTAATTTTTTTCATAAATTCTTAAAATGCTGTATGATCACTGATTTTCATTCACTGAGAAAATTCTGATTACAGCAATAGTCACAGAAAAGTCCCAGTTCACTACTCAAAACATTTTGAAACAAACAAGCTTTATCTTAGAAAGAGAATTTGGGTATCCATTTGTCAAAACAGTCTGCTTTACACAGTCAGGTCAGGCTCCATAATGAACACTTCCCTACTTTGTTAGGGTTTTTTTAAATTTCATATTAAGAAAGAATTTAAAAAAAAAGAAAATCAGAGTTCACCCATTTCAAAAGAACTACAGTTATAGGTGTACAAATCATATTCTATTTACCTTGACTGAATAGCAAGATAAATTGTACGACGGAACGAGACCAGGTTAATTTCTGTTTTGTCGTGAACAGTAACTTTCTGGCCTGGAAAAGAAAAACATGGCTTTGTAAAGAACAAAAGATACATGTAAAGATACATGTAGCAATCTCTTAGCAGAGCTCTATTTATCGTTTACTACATCTGTAGTGCGGTATTTTTCTAGAAATATTTAGGACTGCTTATCATGTTTATGTATTTTTTTAATCTTTATTTTTACAGATAAGGAAAAAAATCGTTATTTGCTTCATCTGTAACTAACAGGAATATTTAAATATTGTTTTAACAGGATAATTCTACTTTTAAATTCTTCTTTTAAAAACTTTTCAGTGACTTAGTCACTCCAACCTCTGGATTTAATATTTCTTGTCTACATTACTAGCAACCTGTTTTCTGCACAATTTAGCTATACAATGCTTTATGTTGCACCCCTGATTTTAACAGGTAATTCTTAGTTTCTATTATGTGTAGGATCTATGTTACATCATTTTGCAAAGTTCTGTTTTGTCCTGCAGTAAGTGTAGAAAAATCCGCTCTGAACCAAACCATTCTGTGAACACTCATTTGTAAGGTATTCACTATTCCTTCAGTCTTTTGAAGTTTGAAGCATAAATGATGAAAAGTTATGTGAATGATCATACTTTTCATCAGCCTGGAAGCTCTGCTCTTCTGTGAAATACCCCGGCAAACTAGTAAGGAAATCCATTACTGTTATTCCACAAGAACAATACTTGACTGGCTTTTCAATTACTCATGCAGTCTGCACAAACATTGTTTGCAAGGCTTTTCTCACAGAAAACTGATACTGTCAAGAATAACAGGACAAAGTTGCTTTTCTGTTTCTGCCCGTGTTGAATGTTTTAAGACAATTACTTTTATACTGTTTGCTCGTAAACACTTAGATCTGAGAATAAGATGAAAACATCCCTTAACATTTGAACATCTTAGTTTTGCAAAACAGCTAAGAAGGTAAGCTTTCCCATTTCATCTACAATAAATCACTAGTAAGGTGCCAGTTATACACTTACCATCTTCACCCTCCTCTTCATCTTCTTCTTCATCTTCCTCACTACTTCCAGCTTCTTGATCTCCTTCAGATTCACTGTCACCTTCATCAAGAATTTCTGAAAGAAGAGTATCCCATATTATTAAGGAATATCGACCATTATATTTTCATTACAAAAAAATCCCCGATCCAACACCTAAAGAGGGAAAGGATCTCTCAGGTGGAGAACGTGGCACAAGCAAAAAAAAAATAGCTATGTCATAATTAAAGGAAAACACCGCTGGAGAAACAATATTGAATAGCAGGAACACAATGATGAACTGAATGACAGTTGTCTAGGACAGAAATATCCCCCACTGTTAAATAATAAGGCTGGCAACAACAGTGGGATAAGTAAATGCCACAGATAAGTAAGTACATAAATATCACATATAAAATGTGAAATATACACACGAATATCCCTACCTTTCTTCAGTGTTTTGTATTTCTCCTCATTTTCCATAAAGTTTGGATCCATCTTGAAAACATCTTTAGAACAAAAGAGAATCTTTATTTAAAATACAAATTGAAGAAAGCAATGAACATCTAATCTTGATTTTGTTTTCTCAGGGAATGCAGTCACAGAATTATCTTCCATTTCTAACTTACTAAGAACATCCTCTGGGTTGTAGTCATCTTCTAATGGCAACATATGAGTAAACTGATCCTCCTCTTCGACTAGATCTAATCCCTCTGGAATAATTGGATGATCCTTGAAGCCATCCTTCCGTACAGCAAACATGACTTCTATCATATACTGAACACGCATATCAATTTTAGATTCATGCAGAATGTGTCGAAGACGGTCAAAGATTGCTTTGGAAAAGAAAGGAATGTAAATATGAAAAGGATTTACTAAATAGAAATGACAAAAAGACATGTGTTGGCTAACTATACTTACCATTGATACCTCTAGGAGAAACTTCTGTTAATTTGAGCCCACTCTCTTTAATAAATCCAATTGCTACTTCAATACTGTCATCAGTAGGCCTTTCAAGAAGCAGGGTGAGCATTTCCAAACATAAAACCTCATGAGCCTACGAAAGGAATATCAGCAAACAATTAGAATACACAAAGTTACACTATCATCACAGTGATTTACTTGACAGATCTGTACAGCCTTTGAGGATGTCACAACACACTAATCACACACACAAGGCAACAGCAGCGGGACAAAGCTGCTTAAGAGGAAGTCCAAATTTCAAATAGTTTTACCACCTCTATTTACACCAACTTCATAGTAAATGTGACTCTGCTTTTGAAAAAGCAAGCAATGAAAAACATTTTGCCATTAAGAAAATAATAGAATGCATTTCCAAGAAGCAAATAAACCAGTACTTGCATTACGGAAACTAGTTCCAAGTGCATTTTGTCTATAAATAAATTGGTTCTTCCAGGATTAGGTATATAAGCAAACGGCACATCTTGGATTAGTTTCCTCTTTACCAAAATGCTGTACATTCCCCCAAAGCATTCCTGAAACACTGCTTCTTGCCATTATTTAAAATGGAGTATCCTGATTTATCACACATAAACAAGATTGCATAGAGCTGGACATAAATTTGGTTTAGATGTAACCAAGTCCAGTTCTGCTTACACAAATTGTTGCAAGAAAATTCTGTTTGAGATCTGTGGGACAGAGCCTCAGACGATCCTTACTTTGCATCAAGACTTGTCTGAATAGTAGCCCAAACATATATATGAAATCTAGGGAAGCTGTGGAGCATAAGTGTAATGATAAGTGATGATAACTGCACAAACAATAACCAATGTGTTTTCTAAAGAGGTCCTAACAACTTAAGGTAGGCACCACACTCAGGTTTTCAGGAACCGTTAGAGCAGGGATTGCATCTTCACTTAGGCTATTGCTGCCTTAAAATTAAAAATTAGCCATATATGGTATGGATTGAATAGAAACATAAAGTAACATACCACATTCTGATTCATCAAATGTGCGACAAATTTTGAAGATGTTAGACAGAGTTGCTGCAAAAGAAATAAACCAGGAAATTTTAACATACAGAAAAAAAGACTTTTAACTCAGACATACTATAGATTTGTGCATCTCACAATAAAATTAAGTCATGAGTTGTTTGCAATCAGGAGTGTAGACTTTCAAAAAGAAAAAAAACCAAAAAACTATCACAGTAACCCAGAATAGGTTGTCAAAGTTTCAAATACTCTAATACTACTAAATGTACTAAAGACTGGTCTCAACTGGTCTTAGTTGTGTTCCTTTCAAGTACGTAATTTGACCACACTTGACAGACAGTTAACACAGCAGAAGGACATTCAGCATGTTGCTTCTTCACGTTTTACATACCTTGTCATTTCTGCGATATCCTTTGCGAAAATTTAGTATCAACCTCTTGAGAATCAATTCACCAATATTTGGAAACTTTGAATTGATAATTGCCACAAGAGCTGCATAAACATGAGTAAATATCGGAGAGGCACTCTGAGCTTGCAAAATGGATCTAGACAGCAATCCCCTGTAAAAATAGGTAAGTTTTAAGTTTTTTGTGGTAATAAGACGTAGCTTTTTTATTCAAATGGTGTTCAGCCAAAGTAAAGAATAACAAGTACTTATCACATAAAATAGTATTGTGCAGTTGGAATAGTTGGAAGATACCAAATGGTCATTTTCAAAATGTTGTTTATCATGCCATAAATGGAGTTTGGCAAAACACATTATCCAAATCTGCTTGAACTCAAAAATTCTTTTGAAAATGCTAAGCATGCAAACAGCCATCTTGTATCCTGCAACTTAGGCTGATTATAAAAGACTACTATTTAGAGCCTAAATAAATGTAAACACAGGGCTCATGAGAATAGTTCTTTTATTATTCTAATGATCTCTCTTACATTTATTATCAAGACTGAAGTCAAAAAAGAATCTGCGACTTATTTTTCCCCCCCTCTCAATTTTGCTTTTTGTAATGCTTAGGAGCACACACAATTTGACTTTTGCTGTATTACTCCATTACAAATAGGTGAGGGGGGGGTAAAGAGCCCTCCAAATGTGAATGTTCAAAGTACACACTGGAATCCAGCTATCTTATCTTCTCTGTGGTCTACTGAAATCCTCATAAAAACCTCCTACATGGTACTAAATACAAACAGCCTAGGGACCTCATTCCTACTTACTTTGGAATTGACAAAGGGAATAGGACTCATACTAGTGCACAGAAGCAGAATACTTCCACTTTGAAACGAGTAGTTACGTCTTTCTTACAAACTGAAACTGGTCTGTTTCAGTTCTCATTTATCCTCAACTTAAAAACTCAGAAAACTACTTGACAGCTAGGCAAAACTTCATGTCATTACTTTTATATGCACCTTTGTGCAAATCTGGAAGTCAGACTTCAGTGTAAGAAGGAGGGAAGTGGTGCCGTTTCCCATCTACGTTCCTTTGACATTTATAAACCACACACAAAAACTTCCACAGATAAGTATATTCTACAAACATTCAATAAGTTTATTTCTAAATGAAAATACTATTGCTTGTATGAAAATTATGTTTCGGGGACATGAGATGTGGGCAAGTAAAAAGCAGTCCTACAAATCCCTGAGATGCATTATTATTTTTAAAAGGAATGACATTCAGGAACTACTTGCTCACTCTCTAAATTTTACTTAATTCTCGTGTTGGTAGTTTGGTTTTGTTTGTTTAAATGGTAGCCAACCTAAGAAACCCATGCTCCTTTAGACTTGCAGATTTAACCCCCAATGACATCAAAATTAATGCAAGGAAAGTCATCACACAATAGTTGCATGATCACCACTACCTAGTACCAAGCTCAGGTAGCATAATCATCTTTTCTCTACATTACAACAATAAACAACATAGGCAGGTAACTGTAGTAAAACCTGTATTGCTAAATACTGACTACAAATATTATTTGTCCCAGAGAAAAAAAAAAAAAATCCAGCACTAAAAAAATAAACAGCCAGTGACAACCGTAAATTACAAGCCAAGTAAAATACACAGGGAAAACCTTTAAGAAAAGGTTGCACTGTTTTATTCCATCAAGCATTCAATCCCTTTCCCAAGTAAGGGACTATTCTGCATAGGACAATATAGCCTAAGGGTAATTTTAAAATCTGACCAGACCCCATACACTACACATAGCACACACCGTGAGGTACACGTGAACAGTACACATAGTACCAGAAAAGCAAAAGAAATATTTTAAAATACAAAGACTTACCTTCCCCTAACAATATTTTCCTGAAGCAGCTCATGAATGATGTTTTCTATATTAGAAACGTTCACTTTATTGACAAGACCATTGATTGACTTCTTCAAGGCTTCCCAACTCATCCTCTGATATGCCAAGCTATTACAAAGGCATCACAAATTATTAAAGCATAAATTTTAAGTAGCACTGAGTAAATTTTTATATACATATACATATATAAAACTTACATTCACATTTTCATTTAATCAGTAAAACAGGTAAGAAATAGTCACTGCATAAATGTGAAGATTAGTTCACACCTATACATTTAACTACTAAAAAATCACTGATATACCAAAATGTAATACCAACTCAGTATGTTCTGCTTTCTATGCTGTTCCAAAAAATCCCTAGCTACATTCTGTATCCCACTTTCCCATTTACATTTTGCAGCAGAAGCAAGTACAGTTTTAATGTGATTCTCTCATCTCTCTTCTGACAAAAATATATCTTCAAAACAACAATCACAGCCCTCTAAATGGATCCCATTTTCCCAGCATTCTCTAAAACCCTTAAATGTTTTGCTTTCAGCAAAAAAACTAATATGTCACTTCCAACTCACCTATTTTTATCAGTGATTTGCTCTTGCATCATCCTGAGCTTGGCAGGTGGAATATATGCACCACCTGTGCGAGTAAGGATTGGATCCACTTCTTCTTTTTTCTTCTTTGAAGTGGCCTCATCATGAGCAAGTGAGCTCTGAACTGTCGACCTCTCTGGACTCCTACGATCGGGTGATGAATATCTCCTCTGCTTCCTCCGATCATATTCTCTCTCCTCCCATCTGTCATAGTGTCTATCTCTCCCCCTTTCCATTCTTCTAAAAAGAAAAAAAAACACCCACCAAACACCCAAGGGTTCGTGAAAAGTTTTCACATTTTATTCTTTAAAATAAGTATTTTATTACCGATTAAGAAAGGGTTTGATACCTTCCATCTGAATTTCTGTCATCATAGTATTCCCTTCTTGAATACTCCTGATCATATCTGCTGTCATCAGAGTGTCTTCTCTTTCTGGGAGACGGAGACCCATCATGCTCCATATCCCTGCTCGCAACCCAAGACACAAAAATTCTTAGTAAAAGGCTGAGAAAAGCAATGGTATCAATATAATATCTACTTACAATACAATGTTACAATGCACAACTGTTCCAATTCTGCAACCTGAGTTTCAAGATACGCACCATTCAAATAAAACAGTCCACTTTTACAATACTTTCTTGTCAGGAAAAAATTATCATAAATCAAAGCTCTGTAAAAGGAAGCTCCTCCCAGAATTTAAAATTAAATATTAAACATTAATAACATTAAATACCAAAGGTAAACTCAGCACCATGCACACTTTTGCTTGTGCAGCACAAAAGTCTTTCTCTAAAATGACAATTGTGGTATCAGCAACATGTGAGTTCAAGCAAAAAGCTAGCATCTAATTTCCATTTTCAAGTCCCATGACAATTTAACTAAATGCTAAGGATTTTTAAAGATTTAGTTCTAGTAACAAATCTATTTAATTACTGTTATATTGACATGTAAATATTTTATTAAACCTACACTTACTTTTCACCGCTCAGTTACGGTAATACAAAAAAAGAAACACAACCTGATGATTTTTTTAACTTCTCTAAATCACTATTTGAGGTGTATATATATATATATATATATATGTAGAACTGAAAGGTATAAAACTCACTGTACCTGTCCTCTGGAGACAAACTTCCTTGTCGGGAACTGTAGTTTTCCCTCCTTTCATGGCTGGAACCATGCTTTAAGAAAACAAAGAAAAAAAAAAATCAAGCCCCAGCACGACTGTGAGCACATACTTTGAGAACAAAGCATATCACATCTTCAGTTCTCTACTCCTTTACAAGAAGGGCCATCAGATAAAGCTAAAGGCAGTCAGTTATGACGAGAGGAGCTGGTTCTCTTAGTAACACGTAATTAAGTACTGGACTCTCTGCTACAGGATGCTGCAGATGCCAAATGTTTATATGGGTTCAAGACACTCGATAAACACTGGAAAAATCCACATAGGTTACCAAAAAAAATTATCTGGCTCAGGAAGCTGCAAACAGGTAGAGTGGGAGTGTATGTGGGCAAGTACTTTTATAGTTGCCCTGTTTCTAAATTTTTCAAGGCATTTGCTGTCCATTACTGCTGGGGGCTAGAGTATACAGACCACTTCCCTGCTTCCTCCTTCCAAATGCCATTTAACTCTGTTGCATCACATGCAAAACCATCAACAAAATTCTACCACTTCTTGTTTGAAAAGTGTCTTTCCTCTCTCCTAAAAACCCCCTTTATTGAGTAACTTCTCCCTATCTTCTTGCTTTTTATTAACCATGATTTATTTTCTCATGAGTCATTCCTAGCTTCATACATAAACACCTAAGTGACACTGTTCTATCTGGCAGATTTGTGAGATTGTTTAAGTCGTACACACTTAAACAGTTCACACCAAATTCCATGGGCTGAATATGACATGGAAATATGGAGTCATACTCAAAAATCAGAGCACGACAGCATCTACAACATACACAAGACATTTCTCAAGATGTTTTAAAACTACTCTGGCAGAGTTAAGAAGCAGCTTTTGTAATCTCAGTACTTTTATTCCAAAGGTCCTCTCTTCACTCAGAACATTATCATTTTTCAAAACCATGTTGTCAGACAGTGATTAACTGTGAAATAGGTAACACCTCACCTGATGCAGAAAGTCAACAAAAAGGTTTGCTTGTTCACCTTGACTGAACTTCCTGCAGGAATTCTCACCTCATTTGTTGAAGTGGCACCCTCTCCACCAACATGCTGACACACTAGTTTTTGACCCACCACAAAGCCAGTTAAAACTACTGGTTACTAGAATACAATGACACCTCCTCCATAAACCAGGTGGTGGAGGTCACCACAGACCAGGGTGGACTGTTATACCACTGATCTCCAAAACTTAACTGGGGAGTGTGTGTATATATGCAAATAAATAATTGCATTTGTGAGGTCACTACAACTTATAGAATATTGCCTTTCTGAGGGTACATTTCTAACACTGTATTAAAATTATACCCAGTATAATCTTGCCTGCATCAAGACAATGATACAAACCCAATGCATTGCATTATTGGGAGTAGGCACCCCTATAAAAGTAAGTCCGTCTAACAACTTAATTTTAGGGTAACATTACCTTTGATGGCAAAGCTAGTACAAGAAATTCACATACTTTCTACAAGGTTTTCTTCCCCTTTCAATAGTCATTTGTGGGATTACACCATAGAGCAGATGACTGAATTCAAGGTTAAGAAAAGCCCTTAAATTGTTTTTTTTCCCTGCCCAATAATATAATGCAAGTCTATATCTTAAGCTTCCAAGAAAGCGGTAATAAAAATCTTCGAAAAACATGGAACTTTTACTGTATTTAAATCCTATTTAGCAGACGGGAAGGAAGCAGTGGGTCTTTTTAGGATGATCCATTCTCATGGGTTCTACATCATCTGTCTTTGCCCAAGCAGAATCAAAAACACAAGTGTTCACAGAAGTAAAACAATGTAATGTCTGTCTCTGTATTTGGCCTTATCACATCTCCTTGCAAAAGCAGAAGAACTTTTTCCCCTCAGCTCTTCATGACCAGCCTTTCTGCCACAAGTTCGCCTTCTTCCTTGTCCATTTTGATCACAATGATTAACTGAAAGTGTCCAAACAGTCCAAAACTCTTGCTAACTGGCTTATTTTAACAGATGAGGAAGCACTACCACAACCACCAAACTGGGAAAATAGTAGAAGCATCCCTATTAAAAGTCACTTCAGTCAGAAAAGTTGGATCCAAAAGGAAGCCTACGCAGGGTCAAACTTTAGAACACAGGTAGAGAAATACCATAGATTTGAGTCAGTGTATCAGAACAACATTGCTCTGCTAACCTGTCCCAAATGTAGTGTACTGTAAAAACACAGCATTTCTAAATGATAATTTAAAAAAATTAAATTTTTTTTCTTGCATTCCTAAAAAAATCACTCCCATCCGTTCAGAGATGGACCACACAGCTTTTAAACATTCACAGTATGACAGAAAGTTGCCAAATTAACTGCTACTTACTGTCACTTTATCTTTTCATTTTAAGATCACTGTTAATCTTTCTCCATTCCTCCACACGCCTATGTTCTCTGTTGAGCCACCATCATTCAGTCAGTTTTGACGAACTACTTTATCATTATAACCCAATAATATTCAGGACTTTCAGTGTTAGGACAACAGGTGCTAGAAATAGCTGGAATTTACTGACTCTTACAGTAGTTGTTACTACTTACTAGTAGTATTTATCTCATAAACAGCTACTGTCAATTACTGCTATTGCTTGCTTCGCATGCGGGAAGCTTGATGTAACATAACATCAAATAATTACCAGTAACATGGGAATAATAAAACCCTACAGTTCAGGTTGAAGAAAACTTACATTTACTTGTGTCACCCTGCTCTTCATCTCGACCTCTTGCTTTTTTATGAAGTTCTAAACGTGCAGCAACCAGACAACCCAAGCTGGAATTCAGCATATGAAAAACATTTCACCTGTAACACATATGAGATAATCAAAAATCTTTCGACTGCACACGGTGCCGGAACCTGCACTTTTTATTTTGCTGTTTAAAGCCATGCTTATATAGATCCTTAAACCAAAACAAGCAGACCCCCAACCCTAGCCTATTCCGCTTTCTGGCGGTCACACAGCCTCTGTGGCAGGAGAACGGTTGTGGAGCAGCACCGGGAGCTCACGGGCACAGCCGGGCCCGCGACCCGCTTGCCAGGCCACGGTGAGGCTGCCGAGGCCCTGCCACCGACCCCACGGCCCGGATTCCGGCCCGGGTCCACCCGCCCATCGCGCTCTTCGCGGGGCCACGGAACCGCCCGGCCCGCGGCCTCCGCCCGCCGCGGAGCGCCCGCACGGCAGGGGAGGCCGCGACCACCCGACCCGCGGGCGCACCTGGCCGGGCGGCGCTCGGGGGCTCCCCCTAGTCCCACGGGGAAGGCGGTGAGGGCCGACCCGCGCACACCCGCTGACTCCGCACACCCCCCGCACACCGGCAGCCCCCGCACCGCCCGCAACCCCTCTCCCGCACCTCCGCGCCCGCACGGCCACGAACCGCGTCACTTCCGGCGGCGCGCAGTGAGCGCACGGCCCCGGCCCCGCCCAGCACCGCCCCCGCGCGCACGCGGCCGGCCCCCCCCCCCGCCCCGCCTTCGCCGCCATCTTGCGGGCGCGGGAGCGTGCGGGCAGCCCTCGGTTTGGTGTTTGAAATGAACGTGATAGTGGGAGTTGTTAATAAATAAATAAATAAGGCAGGAGCTAAGCCGGCAGAATGGCTCCTTAGGGAAGTGGTCACGGCCCCCCAAGCCTGACGAGAGTTCAAGGAGCGTTTGGACAATGCTCTCAGGCACGTGGTGTGACTCTTGGGGATGGTCCCGTGCACGGCCAAGAGCTGGACTCGGTGATCCATGTGGGTCCCTTCCAACGCGGCATGGTCTGTGATTCCGAGTGACTCACCGCAGTGAGTGGCTCTATAGCATGGGCTGTGCTCCCTTCGGTTTGCCCTGCATTTCCCTGGTGCCAACCGCTCCTCCCGTGAAGGGTCTGGGAAAAAACACCTCGTTGGTACCAAAGGTACAAGGTTCCTGTCAGACATACACATAACAGCAAACAAGCAGTCAGCTGGCGTCCCTTAAGGATGGAAACCTGCCCAAAGCACCTCTGTAAAATGTAGTGAATTCACTGAGTGAATTGGGTACTGTAGCACACACTTCTGTCACTTACACATGTACTGTGGGTTAAACTGCTTGAAATATGTTCCAGGAGATACACAATGCACTATATACCATGTTGAATGTTACAATGCTCTTAGGGCACCTGTGTATTAGAGTGGGGGTTGACCTCTGAAAGTTCAAAGTAATTCAGCACCACAAATCCACAAGAACAGAGGGCCTGTGGCTTATTGTAAACACAAACTTGTTTGGATTGTGGAAAGTAATTAAATGCATGGGGGGGGGAAGGAAAATGCTACGTAAGGTCTTAAAGTGCTTTTGGTTCGTTTTCGGTTCTTGTGAGATAAATGGAAACGAAAATGAAAATAAACTTTTATAGGACACAGCAGATCAGGGTCAGGAAGGCATTAACTCAGCCGAGAGCCAGATGGTTCCTGCAGGGATATCTGTGATAGTGCAGTGCGGCAGTGCTGCTGTGCTGCGCCCACCTGTGTCTGTGTGCAAGTTCCTGTGCCTCCATATGTAGTGGGGCACAGAAGTGCCTCCATATGTTGAGAGGTAGAAGATGGCAAGGAGGTAGGAGCAATTCTAGGAAAATGCTACTCGCAATTTTCCTTTTCAAACATAATTTAGTGAAACTTTTCTCAAGGCTGGAAAATGCTACCAATTTTTTCTTTCTCTCTGTAGGTTTTTAAATCAACTTATTTGTTCTCTACTCAACATTATGGTACTTCTGTTTTGTCATATCATGTAATACACCTGTAGCACTGCTTTCATTGCAACAATTATTACATGCTCAAATCACAATGTAGGAGGGGACATTGATGATTGGACAGATCTGGTTTATCTGCTGCAGCCATAGAAGACTTACGTCCTCCACTACAAACTCACAAAAGAGTGAGAGAAAGGGAGCAGCTGCCCATGTCTGAGATCACTGCACATGCTATGCGCACTTTAACTCAGAACCACTTCAGTTTAAACTAATCTACCAGTCTTTTCAGCACTTGAAGCATTAACAAAATGAGTACAAACCTTTTCTCAAACTTTTCCAAAGGCCAGCAATGCTGTCTTAACATTGTGTATCATAACAGATATAAATATTCTGCGCTTGAGAGGTAATATTCTTACTTACAAAGTCATAAAAGTCAACTCTCTTATTTACTTTGCAATACTAAGAAATATAATCAATAAAGCAAGAAATCCCTACTCAAAATCAACACATGGATAGGATATGTTAAGTAATAATAATCAGAAAAAGTACATACTTGTTTTTCTGCTTAAAACTAATTTTTAGCTACAGAATTTGATTTCTTTGGCTTTCAAAATTATTTGCAACTGTGGCACTTACACAGGAGACTGAAAACAGCATGTATCAGGACAGTTGTACATATTCTGACAATATGAATTGTTAAATGCTTTCACTAGATATTCCCTGAACCCACTGCCTGTCTGTGAATGCCCTATGATTTCCTATTCTGCTGTGGAAGTAATCTTTTTCCTGACTCATACTGTGTAAACAGGTGTCATGAAATAAAAAGGCATATGGCACCAATGTGGCAGTGGCATTTTCTGAGAAAATGAGATGTCTGAGAAAGACATCCTGTGGCTGATGGCACACGTACCATCACTCAGGCTGTCCCTCCAAATGCCCTGGGAGAGAGAGAACATGGACAGCTGAGCTTTCCCCTCAGAGGGAACCTGAGGGCAGGGATGGGAAATAAAAAGGTCTGTTTCGAGGCGCCTTCACCAGAAGATAACTGAGAACCTCTGAGAGACATGATTATATTTTGAAAGCTGCTGAATAACATGGAGTGACATAAATTACACTCTTCAGATCTCTTCTTAAATGTGGAAAATAGAGGAGCGGCTGGAAAAGTGGGATTCATTGAACAAGAAAGGAAAAAGGCAGTCTAATACTGAATAGGAGCAGTGAAGTGAGGTTTCCCTTTTCTTCTTTCCTAAGTTAATGCTTTTACTATTGGATTATGGAGTGAAGCTCCCTTCTGTTCCTTTCTTCTCTGTTCTGCTCATCTTGCAGTTCCTTTTCTGCAGCGGGTCACACTTAGATTTTATTCCTCATCAGGGTGAAGGGAGAATACCTTCAGTTTTATTGTGAGTCTGATCTTGTGGTTTGGTGAAATGCTTTAAGAAATGCAAGTTTTAATTCTGTATGGGTGAAAAGACAATGCCTTCAGTTCCCAAATAAACGCGTTAAGGGAGTAGGTCGCAGTGCAGGTTGAGTACTCCAGATGAGCCTTTTTGAATCTACTGCACTCAAGATCTCAAATGTACAGAGTCTGAAGTAGAGCTGTGAGTGTGGTTTCAGACTTCTAGAGAGTAGGAAGAATTCAGGTGCATCCTTTTGCTTGATGTGTCTTCCACAGCTTCTTGCTCAGCATGTGGGCCTCCTTAATTGCCTGGAAAGCACTCGGATCTCTGTCTGTGGTGGATGAAGCATCTAACTGTAGCAATCCTAATAACCCCACAGGAGCCATGCAGCTACTCTGTTAGTGTAAGAGATGGTTCGGATCTCTTATCTCTACCTCAGTCTGAAGTAAATTCTTACAGTTGGAATGGACTGTGATTATGGAGTCTGGAAAAACAATCCAAAGACAAAGCCGCATAAGAATTAACTCATGTCGAGTGGCTTTATATGTATTTAAGACAGCAATAGTCAACAGAGAATGCTTCTCCTCTTCTTAAGTAAGCATGGTGATAGATCAGACCTTAAAATACAATAACACCCTGTTCATACAAAATTAAATCAACATGAGAAGTTTGCTTTCAGATAAGGCAAATTTTAAATATAAATTTCTGCACACTGAAAATCCTGAAAGCAGTGACAATTCAACTGAGACTAATAGTAATTAAACCAGACATAATTATAATATTTGAAACCTGCACAAAGGGAGAAAGGATAATGTGTCCAACAAATTCATATTCATCAGCTTAATGTTGTGCATGAATACTCCATTAGTAAGCCACAGGAAACATAGTTTTAGACACATTGTTTTCCCATGGCAGTTTTTGTTATTGTGCTTGAAATTATACAACTTAAAAATCATCCACATGCTGCACTCCCTGGACTGGCACCTCTCCTGGCATAAGCATCTGTAGCTTCATCAACTCCCAGTCTTCCAAAAGTGAGCAAAATGGTTCGTATGTAGAAGCTCACTGGAAGTACCTAATACTGCTAGAAAACACAATCATTACCTTATTCTGGTAGCTGAGTCTTTGTAGTTAATATTGCTTTATTAATTAATTGTAGAATGATGGATTAGAGACTGTTTTCCCTGCCTGCTTTATTAGGAGAAAGGACGCTACTAATTCCCATCCAAGTTAATCAGTGTGACATTTACTGTAGACTTAAAATTTTGTGCAAGGCTCAAACTGTGTTTCCAGATAGCTGTTGCCACGTGCCAGTTGTGGGATATTACTCCACACCTCAACTGAGACAAGAAATTGCATTCTCTGTGGTTTTAGTTTAAGGTCAGATGAGTGAGCTGAGCTTAGCCAACAAAGGTAAACTTGTTTGGTAGCAGAGTGGGATGTTGCCATGCAATCCCTTCTGCTACCCTTTGTTGTGGCAAGAGTAATCTCTGATACAGCATGTTAAGAAGCAACATGAGGGAAAGAGAAAGAATACTCTTACATTACATATAAACACCACTGTTTCGGAGGGATCTAATATCTGTGCTGTGAAGTCCCCTCACCGTTACATTTTAATAAATGCTCTAAGATCATGGTCTTACAATACCGAGAAATCTCTCTTATTGGTTCCTCAAATGGGTGACATTCATGACACTCCATCACAAATTTTGTTTTTCTCAAGGAAGCACCAGCAGACTCTTAGTCTGTTTTGAAACCTCGTCAAAGCAGAGCTGTGCCCCTGAGCTCAGTGGGAAGGGATGATCATATGTGGAACTTCCACACAATTTCCACTGTGTGAGAACACATAACATATGTTTTCTATTATTTTTAATGACAGTCTCTCAGCTGCTTCTCATAATAGTAAAAAAATCTGCTCAGCTACTGTTTAAAGCAGGTTCCTAGTCTGTGTGCTAACATCTCTCTTCTTTCAGTTTAGTGGCAATGCCGTTCTCTGACCAGCTTCTGGGACTGGAAACAATTCCCATCCCTTCAGGCACCTTCTACCCTTAAAGTAATATACAGACTAAGCATATTATTCAGAAAAAGAAGGCGCAGTGAATCCAGATTGGCATAAAGGAGTAATATTTTTTTACTATGCGGTTCTGCTCATTGATATTCTTAATGTTTTTTTGGTTGTTCGT